CAGGGGCGTTCGCAAGCACTCGAGAACACTCGCGTTTGCTATATAATCAAATCGAATTGCGATTGCAGTTCGGTTTCAATTTCAACCCCGAAGTAATAAATAATAATCGCTGTATATGTGAGCGATAAATAATATTTTAACTATTATAAATCACGCAATTAAATTTTTCAATTTTTAAAACTTCATGAGAAAGAATTTTAAATCTACCAAATCTAAACAAACATTTTTCAAATAATTTTTCTCTTTTAATTGTTGTTTGCAACGATTGCACTGGAGTGTAGAATTAACGCCTTTACCTAAGTTTTAGATATATATTTTCCAATTTTCCCGAAGTTGTTTCCCCCAAAATAGAACATGTACTTGACTTTGCACAAGATGAAAAACAAAACAAACGTGAATGAAAGCTACTCCTAGAAAAAGCTGAAACTCCTTTAAATGTTTTGCTGTGTACAGGGTGTCTTAAATGCGAGAGTTGGGATCTCCGAAACCGTAAGAGACACCACGTCGGTTAGATGGAGGCACAGTTACTTATTTTGGCGCTAAATCTAACGCTGCTTCAAAAGTGAAGGAATTCTCTCATTTCTTTATTAAGCGGCTACGCAAAACCATTAGAGGAGTCGATGATGTGAACACGATAACTACTCCGTTGAGTCACACGGCTCTATCGCTTTTCTAGAGCCGGTTTACGCTCGGGTTATTATTATGTTTTTGTGACCATTTGCAACTTTTTCTCCCCTACAAGCTGGAATGACTAGATTTTAAGTCCGATGTACCATTTTTTTTCCACCATCAACTTAATTTTTTTAAAATACGAAACTGTATGTTTTGTTGTATATTTAGAGAGAGCTCGTCATTCTGAAAGCTGAACAGCTAGGGCCTAACCTAATTTCAATTCCACATAGAAGAAACAGTCAGCGAGAAGTCTATAGGCGGTCCGTGCAAAGTACAGCTGGGGGCAAATAATTTCCCTTCTGATTGAAAACAGCGACCCGAACGCATCGAGGACTTCTGGTGCACAAACACTGAAGGTATTTATGAACGTTTTAGTGTAATCGCCTCGTAGTACTGGCTCTTGTTTAAGCGATATACAACTGCGCATACTTATCTGGATACGATTTAACCATCTACTTGTAAAGTTTTAGACGCGCGCATGGACTCTTAATATATTAACGTATTCCAGTTCGATTTATTTTTATTATACAGGATGTTTATTAAAATACAATTAATTTTCTTTTAGCACCTAAGGATATTCATTATACTCGTACAGTGAGTTTATTTCATTTAGGAAATAAAGTTGAATCCCTTTTAAAGAAAATTTTCCGAAAATGTTTAAAAATCGAGAACGTTATATCACGAAAACCTAAGTAATGCTACGTGATATGGCTGCTGAGAAAAATTTAATAAAGAAATGAAAATTGTTAGGACTTCGACAGACGTAGCTACCAAACAAAATCTCCGTTTATTGTGAAAAAATACTTGTTTTAGTCCCTTCTACCAGCGAATTTAATTAATGAAGGCATGAGAGAAATCCAGCAGGCGTAATTAGAAACAATTTAATAATATAAGAAAACCAACATAGAAACGGTGGGAACCCTGCATAGACAGCAAAAAACAATTTTCGAGTAACAAAATAGCAGCTACCGTAGAATTGATAAGTAAAGTTGAGAGAATGAAAACTCAAAATTCGTGACTGGTTTACTAAATCTCAATACAAATTTAGTAGATTTCCAAAGTTTTTGTGACTAAATAAAGTTTTGCAAATTGTCGTCATTGTGTATAATGATGCGTCTGTCACCAGTACCAACTAGAAGCGAACACAACAAAACGGGAGCTAAAATTGTTTACTTTACTTAGCATGTGTCAACTCAAAAAAAGTCGTAAATATTAAAGTACAGTAGCACAATGTAACAGTTTAGTTTATTCTTATTCAAATTTCAAAATTACCGCTTGCTAGGTTAGGTAGGATATAGGTGAGATGGCGTCACTTGTACGCGTGTTTCTTTCCTCGCGCAGAATCGCGTTAATTTTTCACTTCATTTCCGTTTTAAAGCCAACGAGGTTGTACTTGTTGTAGAGCGTGGCATTGTGAATTCTTCTTAAACCAGTGGGTAATATTTGCCATCATTCATGTGAAATCTCTGGCAATTTTACCTTTTCATTGGCGTTGTCGAGTAGTGTAACTCAGAAGCCGTTTTCTCCATTGCGAGGCTATATCTGGTGGAAGTTCATCGCCCTACCTACATGTAAGTGAAATGGCGTTGATTTTCTTTTACGTTATGTTATCTAAAATTCTTTCAGATTCACAATTTGAGGTTGGATAATTTCCCTATTTCATTGATTTAAGTATTTTTCATTACCCTCCTGACGATTTCAGGTATGTTATTAAAAATCTCGTTAAGGGAGTGTTACATCTTCATTACTTTTAGGGGGTCCATGTAGTAGATGAATTCTTGTACCGGTCAATCCATGTAGTAGATGAATTCTTGTACCGGTCAATCCATGTAGTGACGAATCCTTGTATGTAAATGAATTTGCATCTTGCGAATATTCCGGAGTACGAACACCTGTTGATTGCCGGCAGCTATCCGGCGTACCACCGAGTAGATAAGCGCTAACACCTAAACGATACCGGGAGCGACCAGCTGATTGTGGAATTTTCGGAAGATACGATCTTTTACACAACCTTTTTGTTATTTGCTTCAATACCATTAATCTAGTGTAACCTTCCGACGATTTATGATTGGAGCTTTGTATTTTGTTCGCATCTAGTGTTTGAGGTCGTGGCTCTCTTCAAGAGCAACGCACCTGTATTTAACGTATGGGTAAACGAGCCGGCTACGAGTAAGCTATTTTAGTTTTGGCCCTTCTGGCTCATATAATCGTTCCGAGCGTTGTAGCTTGGGGTTTGTTTTTGTGTTACAGAACTGGAACTTCGAAGGAGAGCTCTTTTTCGGAGAAGACAGCGTATGTGTTATTCAAGGTAAGATTTTTAATTTACTTGTACCCAGTGTTGCCTATATGAGTTGTTATTCGGGTTAACTTAATTCAATCTTTGAATCCATTGAAATCTTAACTACATTTTTGCTCGATCATTGTTGTAGGGGTCTGGTAACGTAATTATTAGGGAAGTGTTCATGAATTTATTTGGGGATTATTTTTGTCATTTAAAGTATTTGTTATTGTCGTATTGAAGATACCTTTTATTTGCCGATCCTGCACCGTTTTTGCCAGGATTAATAAATCAGAATTGCTCGTAGTGAATTTATTATTTGGCTCTCTTGTGTTTTCCCAATTTCTATACAGGAGAGGTCAGAATTTGTGCAAAATTGGGTGGCGCTCAACTAATCATTTCTAGTGACTACCAAAGATCAAAAACTTATGTTATATGCCCAAACGAACAAACCGCTGTGGAAGATTCTCATCTCGAGCCCTTCTTTTAATTAAGAATCTGAGCTAGCTGGCCGTTTATGCGGCGGGGTTTGAGTTTTACAGCGCCGAACTAACCTCACGTTATAACAATTCGTGGTGCAGTTTTGCCATGAACAAAATAAACACTATTTCCGTTTTAAACGATCCAAATGGGATAATTTACCGAGCTACCACGGCGGTAAAAAACGCATTGTTCCCTATGTATCTTGTTTACCAAAAGAACGGCAAATCTTAATCAACAAACAAAAGATTAAAATCTAAATTTCAAATACCCAATAATTAAAACAAAAGAAGCATATAGACAATTATAATTCTTAATGAGCCATTATTGATGTTAAAAGAAATGTAAAGATGAAAACTTCAAGGTAATTATTAATAACTGCAGTATAATAAAATTGGAATGACTGGCTGCACTTTTTGCATAACTATTGATTTACGTACACAATGTGAAATCCTTGGCTTGATAAAAGGTTTCAAATTTATTAAGATTTGAAAAGCGCCCGACCCTGTGTTAACACTAACTTACTGGAATCCAATTCAAGCATTAAAAGAATTAAAAAAATTGCCATAATGTTTAATAAGCAGTAAAGAAAAAAAGGATAAGTAATGACTGTGCAGGAATCGGTAATTATATTGTTAATGGCAAAGTATTAAGATCCAATGTGTAGATAGCCGCTCATTAACAATTTTACAAGAATTATAATTCTATAATTAGGATTAACATAAAATAGCTATTTGTTAATGCGTTACAATATGTTGGAACAATGCAATGTTATTAACTAAGTGGTGTTATATGCACTTTTTTACGAGTGAAAAACGCGTCGCGAAGTGTCATTCGATTTTTCAAGCTTTAAAATCGTTAATTGAAGCTTAAAGAAAAAAATTATGCTGGTCATGTTGGTTTGTTACGTTATTACCTACTCTCGTTTTTCGTTCTGCAGGTAACTTGTGTGTCACTTACCGATGTCACTTAAAAGCGAAAAGCCTACAAAATAACTTTGTTACAAGGAATTACGATAAAATTTATTTTATTTCAGACCCTCTTCGTTGGCAACAATAATGTAATAAACGCACAGTGATCACATGAGTCCCGCTTCGGTGGCGGGCTGATTTATTAGAAGTTCCCTCCCGAAGAGACCATCATACTCTCATTACACCCGCAGCTCAAATTATTTTTAATACAGGAAGGGTTGGTATTATTTTTGTAATTAAATTAAGGAATGATATTGTAGAAATTTGAGTTGACTATTAAAGGGGGAATATGCTTTGAAATTTGTAGAGATTTATTACTAAAACATTTTTTAAATGCTTCTGTATACTGCAATTTTATTAACAATAAAAATACTAAGCGAGCGAAACCTTTTTTCTTATCACCGATCCGCGGGCACATTTGAAAACACGAAAACAAATTTCGAATGCCAGTTTAATGGCGCGACTAAAGGAAAAACCAACACCCTCGCACACACCTGCGTGTTCAATGAAAATTCATTCAAATTATTTGATGGTCATGCGAATTCATTAAGGAACTAAACATACAACTTAATTTTAAGCTTAAAATACCTATTACTCACCAATGAATCTACTTCTGGATCTGCTATATAATAAGGTTTTTCTTGTCTTATCTGAAACAATACGAAATATTCATTAGTTTCAAAATTATGTTACGCACGCTCGATACATATCTAAACATTCATTATCTTATAAGGAATCGTATACATATTCCAAATTTTAATTATTTGATAGTAGTTTCTTTATTACTTCTTTAAACCGAATTCGACCTGTCACTAAAATTAGAAAAATACTAGCTTTTATGGTTAATTTAATTTGGAGGGGAAGTCAATTTTCTTATTGAAGCAATTGACTAATTGACTAGTTGAATTGATTTTTAACTTGTAACACCCCGGTAGATGAGATCAAATTAAATTAGGCGTGACGCTCTCATAATATATGTCTCTTATGACGCGTGACCATCCATTTTATGAAAACTGCAGGCGTTTCTTCTGTAAATGTATTCACGTAAAACAAAAAAATACACTTAGTTCGAATTAGACATTAGACCTCTACAAAACTACAAAGTGCAATCATATATCGGGTAAAATACCGAATGATCGGATAGATGTCGCCAGTGACTACTCGATTTCCTCATGTATTTCTTGTACATATTCTGTGGTAGGTGTAAGCACTTATTGGTTGTATTGTAAGTAACATATATTGCAACTGTTACATTAGTTTTTTTAGAAGGCTATTTTTTAAATGGGTACTTAATTCATAGGTATTACAATAAGCGCCACTATTCATTGCCATTCTTATGTGGCTCGTACGAGCAAAAAGATTGAAAACTTCTCAGTCTAACACAGAGATATGCAGGAGTCATGATTTTCACGATTGTATTTTGCACGATTGTCGATCTGTTGTTTACACTGCTTGTATCTGAAACTTTTTCCAGTAGTTACTTTTTGTATGTAGCATTCGTATTCATTTTTGTTGATTTTTTTCGAGACAGTTTGCTTGCTTGCTTGTGTAATGTAATGGAATGCCTTAAGAGTTGAATTATGCATTGAAATGCTCTATCGTTATCGATTGTAAAAAAAAATCTTGTGGAATATCCCTGCACAAGATGGAAAAAAAGCAATCACCCGTAAGTTCTTTCATCACACGTATAAGGTTTCCAAATGATTGTAGGTAGGTAAATACATATATTTCAAAAATATAGATGTGTGTGTTTCTAAACAAGTACTATAGCAGAACTCTTGAGAAATAAAAACGTCATTACATTTTTGTTGTAATCTCAAGAGTCAATACGTCAATGTAAACTTATTTCGAATGCGTGAAGTAAAGAAATAATATTTTATACCAGATGTTAAATTCACATTTACTTTTGAAATGGTAAGCTAAGTCTCTCTTTAACAGTAAGAGTAGATAAGCGATAAAGTGACCACTCAACGACAAGGTAGATAAAGCGAAACAAATGATTATGCATTCTAATGGCATAGGTCATTCTTATTAAAATGGGACGCGAAGCACGGAATAAAATAAAGTTCAAAACAGAAAACAATATTGTGTCCATCGAAACAACGGCCTCTTGCTATTTTTGACGTGTATTTAGATTGAGAATTTTCAAAACTTTATAATGAATTATATTCATTCGCTCGATTTGTTAACACCCCTGTATAGTCTTGTGTAATAAACAACTATTAAATTTTTCCAAACTTTCCTGAACATTTCCATTTCCAAACAATTCGACATTTCGGTACGTAACGAGTGAGTAATTTTCATTCAGAGTTACCCTTAAAAGAGAGAGATGGGCGTATCGAACATGTGTTTGGAAGTCATCATAGACTCCCGCCAGACCTAGAAAGGGGACGAATAAACAAAAAGACCATTGCATATGTTTGGGCATGTAGAAAGGGCTTTTAGCTGTACATGGGCTTGAATCCTCGAGTAGTATATTGGATTTACACTGTAATGATAATGCCAAGAATACTGTACGGTGCACTTGTATGGCGGCCTGCCATGCGCAAGGCAAACGTGCGGAAGCAGCTAGGTAAGGTACAGAGAGTAAAATGTACAGGAGGGCAGGATATTGCATAAAACTAATTTCCCATGTTAGATCCCTATGTTCCTACCAGGGTTCCTACTTACCGTGCACCACCCGGTATATAGATTAGATGAGTCTGATAGGGTAAGCTTGATCTGAATGCCAGCGCACTGCGGAGTAGGGGGCAACGAAAGGGCGGATGAGCTCACTCGCGAAGACAGTGGTGAGTTCTCGCTGGGCCCGTGCCTACCCTACCCTAATAATTGCTCCCTCCGTTGTCAGGGCCAGGATTAAAGACTGGGTAACCAGTCAATTCCAGGCTCAGTGGCACCAAGCAACCGGGCGCGGACAGTCCAGAACCTTTTTAACAAAATAGAAGCCAGATTAGGAAGATTAACGGATGCCGTCACGAGGCACTGGATGGTCAACTACCTGCATAACATTGGACTTATGGAGGAGCTCACGTGCAAGGTGCGGCGAGGTAAATGAAACTACCGAGCAAGTCGTCCGTCACTGTAGCACCTTGATCAGAGATAGACATCACCTAAAATTCCACGGCATTCTATAAACCAAAATTTTGTTGCTCGCATCCATATACAAATAAGCATTTAACTTTATACGCTAAAATCTGCTAACATATTTTGTAATCTGAGAACGAAAATAATATAAAATAAATATCAGACAATAGATAGATTTATTGGAAGAATGTTGCAAAATTTAAGTTAAATTATAATAAAAATTTATAAAAGTGTAAGAAATTCATTAAGTAAATTTGATCTTGGAAACATCTGGATGATCGAATCTGCATTCACTTTCTGGATGGCTATATTCATACTTTCTTTTAGATATTCCATGATTTTTGGTTCTTTAGTTTTTTTAAATTTTTTTCCTAGTAATTTGATTAGGTTTTTGCATTGATTTCCCCAACCTCCAATTGTTTCGTATCCTATAGGAATCGGTTGGTAATTATCGGGCAGTTTTGAATATTTCTGATTTCTCTGGTTTGTTAGCAGCTCCTCCAGCAGTTTTCGAAGTTTGAGGGAGATGGGATGAGCATAGGGTATCCACGCATGTATTATCCCATACAATTCGAAGTATCTATCTATGCAGATGATGCGGGTTTACTGTACTCTAATCGAGATATAACTAAATGTGCAACCATAATACAAAAAGAGCTTAACAGTTAAACATAATGGCGCCTTACCAGCCCACATACAACGATGTGGCAGAATTGGAATGTTTAAAAAACTTGTAAGGTGGATTTTACATCATAATTATTTGTAATTTCTAAAACTACTTTACTTTATTTTGCTTAGTAATATATTACTAATTGTTTATTAATAATACTTTCATATAGTTCTTCTTTTTCCGTGTCACAGTCGTTTTGCATATACTATTTTAGAGTTGATTGTTTAGGTTTTTTTTTGGTTTTTATTTTTTTTTTATACATATTAGAAATTTGTTGCTTTGAAATCAAGTAAATTTTGCGGTAATATTTTAACTTAGCATTACGATTTGATATGTATGAAGTTTAAAATTTGGGTTTGAATTATGGAACCCAACCAATTTTCAGCGCCTCTGTTGAAACTAATGTTTTATGTTCATTTTAAAATTTGAAGAAGAATGATGTGGCCTTGTTCATATACTGGGATGGTATATTTATTATTTTACTCCGTAAAAGTGTGGCCGCAAAATATGACGTTCCAAATCGGGGAGGGACGACCTTTCTCACAAAGTGTCGTTGCTCTATCGGGCCAATTAACATTTTTATGATTCGCTACTATCATAAAACAAATAATAAAACTGACGTGTTGTAACTTTTTTCGTCAACAGGTACACATCTACCCGACGTATCATTTTTGATAAAATGGCGAACAAAGCTTTCGTCAAGTACACCTATCTAACCTAACCTACAAATAAACAAGTCAAAAAAGTAATCGTAAACGACTTACAAAAAGCGCATTTCTACTTGTATTGATTTCCCATTTGTAAGATGCAACTTCTGTTAAAATCGTAAAAATCCGGCCACAAATATGAAAGATAGCGTTGCACATGTGCAATCCATTTTTGACGTGCTACTTCAATTTCAGTTTATAAGAAGCATTTCATTTCAATGCTTTCATAAATAAAAAAGTTGGCACTGCGCATGCGCAAAACCAAATTTTGAAACTGGCGTTAGATTTTCATTTATTTCAAGTTCGTATGTATCAAATTTCAATTAAATACTTTTATAAATAAAAAAGTTTGCAATTCGCTTTATAAATGGTCGAGATGCGAAAAGGGCACCTGTGAATTTTGAATCCATTCGACTCAACTTTTGGTATTGCGTATTATATGGCTGAAGCTATGCACATATTGAATTTCATGCAATTCAGTTCATAACAAACGGAGATGTGACAGTGATCGGACATTTCTAAACAAAGTTATCGTTCACACGGACAGACAGACAGACATAGGAACAGACGGACAGACCAACAGACAGACGACAGACAACAATACAAAATTATAGATCGTTAATAAACGGCAAAAGTGTAAAAGTATGAAACATGTAAAAAACGGTTTTTTTGTTTTTTTACAATAACTTTTTTAGCAATAAACGCGGAAAAAATTCCTTCCTTGATGCAAGCCTCGACACCATAACGAACCAAATAGCGACAAAAGTAGAACAGTATAGCTCTTAAGATAAAGAACTAGTAGCGTCTCAAAGAACGAGCGGACGGACGGACAAAGTGACCACAATAGCGCATTTTTTTATATTTTTGTGGAAATGCGCTACAAAGAAGTAAACTCAAGGAATTGCATTCGAGCGAGTCGCGTAAGAATATTTTTCACACAAGACATGAACGAATGTTGATTTTGGGAATTTAAAACTCCGTGCATAATTTTCAAAATATGTATATATTTATAAAACAACAGTATCTTTGGTGTAATAAGTAATAAACGAGATTCCGAAACTGACTAACACCAATCTTTTTATATGAGCTTAAGTGTCAGTAAGAAGGACTGCGTTGCATGTATTCATCAATTTTTGCGTATCTGGATACGTTTTTGTTTCCTCGTTTTAACATAAAATGAAAACACGAG